CTAGATACAGTAGAATAAGTTCTACGAATCCATTGACAATGTTATACATTTATACCTAAAGTGTAATAGTTATTCTCATCATGCCTAAAACTATTAGTTAACGCATAAAGCTAAAGCTATTACTATTTTCCACACTTTTCCACCTTTTTTCTTATAAAACAAGATTTAATTACACTTTTCTTACATCTTGGGTACTCTAAATTATAAACAAATCACTAGAGTTAGAAGGAAAAAAAATAATATTTATACCATAAATTTTTGGTCGAATGAATTTGAAAGATATTTTTGTAACTCGCGCTGTTACATACAAATATTTTTATGTAGATAAAATTGAGAAACTGGAAACTATGAATAATTAAAAACCAGGTTCAATTTATATATAAGTGGTTCCGGTGTGTTTGGATTTGACTTACAAATCAAATAAAAAGGCTAATGTTGCCAAAACAAAAATCGAATAATTTAAAAAAACGAAATAAGAAACAAAAAAAAAACAGATAATTCCTGTCTTCTTGAAAATCTTGTAAAGTTGGTTGTAATTTTATTCATAAGTTAATTAATTTCAAAAAGTTAATATTTGGATTGTAATATGATAAAGGAAGCATGGTTGGACAAGAGAAGTGGCAAAGTGTGTTTGGCAATATCACCAAAGGCAATGAACATTACAGGCATTGATGATCGTCGATATTGGGAACTTATCTCTTCCGACGAATCCAGGTTCCTCTTCTTGTTGAATGAATCTTTCATTATCTTTTTACTATTTTGGTTGCTTAAAAACTAAAACTCTCTCGCTAATGATTTGGATTTGATTATATATAATTAATTGTGACTTTGTCAACATATTTTGGTTTCTCTTTCGAAGCTAATCATTGGATAATATAAACAAGAAATGACAATGTTATAATTGGCTACACAAAAATTATAGAAAACGTGCAATGACCTTTGGTCAAAGTTGATGATTACACATTTCGTATTCACACACTCTTCCTAGCTACGTCGAAAAACTTATAACTCATAAAAAGTCTATTTCTGTACTTGCTTTTAGATCAAAGTATATCAGAAACTTTCTTATAACTAATTTGCTGACATATTGAAATTTTAATCATGTTCAAGTGATGTTATCTTTTGTTTTTTGTTTCTGTCTAAATATATTGGATAGAAAGATATTTATCAATACGTATACGAAATGTATAATGACGTTATACATTGTATATAGTTGTAAATTTTACAGGTGATATATATACATATAGAATCTATTAGATAAGCTCAAAAGAGTTGGTTTGTTTAGTGAATAGGGGAAAGTTTTGGGTCGTCGTCGACGGATATGTCATTTTCTCTTATCCCAAATTTGCTCGATCATATCAATAATTGGATGGCTTTCTTTCAACAATCGTTTTTAAAATTAAATATAAAAATTTCCCCACAACTATCTTTATATATATTATATACTATTTCTCATCATATCATATCAATATATATAATTTGGAAAAAAATAGGAACAAGTATGAATGTATGATATAAAAATATACATATAATCATTAACTCCACTATATTACTATAAAATAAATATATTTATTATAGATTTGTATAAGTATCTATCATTAGTAGGCCTCATTGTTAACACAATTTTTTTTTATTAGTGCTGCTTACAAATAAGACCAAATAAAGAAAAGTACATACTTATTTATAACTTGTCTATTAGATGAGATCGAATATTTCCTAATCCACTTGTGATATATCATGATTAAGTGACCTATTCTATAGATATAACTTAAAAGTTGTAGCGCTTATCCACATTATCTCTAATTGGACCAACTCTTTCGCATTATGATTATATCATTAAAGTTCTTACGATGATTTTCATTTTGTTCCTACAGATTTGGATCAATAGCTTATCTCAGACAAATATGGTGGTTAGAAGCAGTTGGAAACATAAGATTCGAATTCGCACCCGGGAGATACAGTATACTTTTCAAGATACAACTAGGCAAACCTATTAGAAAGTGTGGGAGGAAAACATGTAATTTGGACCAAGTTCATGGTTGGGACACCAAACCGGTCAGGTTTCAGTTGTCTACATCAGACGGCCAATGCGCTATGTCGGAACGACATCTGGACGAATCGGGCAGGTGGGTTTATCACCACGTGGGTGACTTCGTCGTAGAGAATGAGAACTCACCGGTTTGGGTCAAGTTCTCTATGCTCCAGATAGATTGTACACATACCAAAGGTGGGTTATGTTTAGATTGTGTGATCATATGTCCATTTGAGTATAGAGGGAAATATACATTTTTCGATTAATTTTTTATTTTTTTATAATTTGATATGTTATAGGTTTTAGGATATTTTTTTGTCAATATATGTATGTATAAAATGTGCAAATTTTGTATTAGTTTTTATGCAAATGTGTAATGTTAAATCGAGAATGTAAAAATGTGAACAGTATATACATATGTGATTCATAAGTTTCGTAATATTGTAAGTAACAATAGAAAAATGTGAAAAGATACTTTTGTGAGGTTGATTAGTAAATTATTTTCACTCTCTTTTTTGCTTTGACCATTAATGATTGGGCTTGTTCTTAATGGGTCAATCTTATCAATTATTGGGCCTGACATTGGTGGGCCTATCCTACTACGCAGAGGTTCTTCGAGAAGTCATCAATGGCGGATACAGAAGCAATGATGAGACTCGAACATATCTGTGAGAGAGATGAGTATTCGAATTTGTAATTTCCCGTTCAATCCAAGCTTCGCGCCGCAACCTCGCGCCCATATCTCCTCGAGGTCTACACGAATCTTCGCTCGTACAGAGAACGATTCTCTACAATCAAAAGCTTCTGATCAACAACAACTCAATCTCTCTGTTCTTCGTTTCACTTTTGGTAAAGGGTCTTCCTTTTCTTGTTGAAAGTTCAGATTTTTCTTCAAGCATTTGTGAGATGTATTCAGAATCGGATTGTGTCTGCATTTCTTAGGGATTCCTGGGCTAGACGAATCTTATCTACCGAGATGGCTCGGGTACGGGTTTGGATCACTTCTTCTTCTTAACCACTTCTCAGCTTCTGGTCCAGTCAGTGAACCTCAATTGGTAATTAGTAGCAGTTGTTTAGTAGTGTTTTTTTGCTATTAAAGCTATGAACTTTTTATCATTTTTGTGAATTTCTTGGTGATAGAGATCAGAAGCGTTGGGGATATCACTTGCTGCATTCTCAGTAGCTTTACCTTACATTGGAAAATTCCTCAAGGTAAAATCATAATACATCTTGAGTGAAGAAGATGAAGTATGCTGTTTCTGTTTACTTATATTGCTGTTGATGGGTTGTGTGTTTAGGGTTCTGTAGTGGAGCAGAGAACTCTACCTGAAGAGGGAGAGCAAGTTTTTGTAATATCATCAAATATCGGAGATTCTTTGAAGGAGGATTTAGCATGGGCAACTTATGTTTTGTTGAGGAATACAAGTACTATAGCTGTGGTATGGTGTTTCTGTCTTGGATGAGGGTTTGATCTTTGATCTGCTTTGTTGTGTTCTTACTTCTCTGTTCTACTGAAAATCACTGTTTTTGGTTCAGTTGATATCGGTTCAAGGTGAGCTTTGTGTTCGTGGGTACTGGAATTGTCCAGATCAGATGTCAAAGGCTCAGTTACATGACTGGTTCAAGAAAAAGGTAGATGAAATTGGCTTGGCTGATGTGAAGGAGACCCTTTATTTCCCTCAGTATGAAGGTATTTCGTTTTCTTTAGTTGTACAACCTTAAATTTGTTCAGCCGAGTTGATCCATTGTATACCTGAATGCTTGAAATGTAACTCATTTGGGCTGCGGAAAGACAATTTTCTTTGTGGTGATGAAATATCTTAACTTTCAGTTTGATTTTAGGTTCTGCTGCATCTTGGGATATTCTTCCCGATGGGACACGTTCTCTTTTTGTACAACCTCTTGTACAAGATATAAATGAACCGAAGAAAATGGACGGGTTTTTGCTGGTCGCTTCTACTGCTGGATATGCATATAGCGATAAAGATAGAGCCTGGATTGGAGCTATGGCTGATAAATTCAGAGGTTAGATTGTTCCCATGGATCAAAAGGAAATACGATTGCTTGCTTCAATTTTTTTCTCTTGGTGTGGGTTTTAGTAAAGTTGTCATAGTGTATCACAAATATGACAGACTTTCATCACTGATTTATGATTCTTTACTGGTCAATCTGTATATGTATATGGATGTTTTGATAGAACGTTAAATGGACGAGAGCGAGGCATTTAGTTCCTTTTACTAAGTTATCTGTAAAACTTCATGATGTCATGATCCTTGTGGGTAAAACTACGTAGCACTGGCAATATACAAAATTACCTTTGAAATGAAATTTACAAAATACACTGATGTACATAAGTACATAACCAAAAGCATGGAACATCTATTTTTCCGTGAAGCTATTTGTAATATAACAGTTTTTTTTCTCAGTCTGACTTTGTTTCTATTCTCACCTTAAAAATGAAATCTCTTATCATCATGAAAGAAAATATCAACCTATTTCTAAACTTAATGTTTTTTCCTTCATATGACTTGCAGGATGACATAAGGTATTCATGATAATTTTAATTTTTGACTCATATCTTGATTGATGACTGGCGAGACACTTCAGTTCCTACAGGAATTTCTCAAGGCCGTAAATCAGATTCTGTAAAATAAAACGAGAATACAGCAAGTAGTTAGATAACAGTAAGACATCAATGGATGGATAATTCTTGCCTGTTTTGTTGTTACCTTGAGGCGTACCACCTTTCTGATAGCTAGGAGTAGGCCAGGCATTAGGGACCTTACGTCAATTATGTCGTGTTTAACAGTGTAAACCTGTGTACAGTAGTTTCAAGTTTATTATAAGATTTCCACTGAGCTATTAAGCCTGATTTCTAAAATTGAGGATCTAATATTCAGTTAGATTTTGAAATAGATTGCAGTATTGATAATTACATCTCCTGGACTTGAGAAGTAGACTTGTGTACTAGATGGTAGTCCCGGTAGAACCATACTGTGAACACGAACCCCGTCTTCTCCAATTACTTGACCTCTTGCCTGGAAATTTGAGGAAAACACGGCTCTGTTATGTATATAATATGTTATATGTACAGGATTTTAACTGGTCTATCTTAGTTAGCCTTTCTGACAATATTTTCTGCAATCTTATTCAGGCTTTACCTTAACATCTGTTGAACTATCCTCTCTGTTGTAAATCTGACCAAGATTTGATATGTTGTTTGCAATTTGGATAGCTTCTGGAGAAGGAAGATCCTGCATTTCATAGGTATATTTTGAGTCACATCTTGTGAATCAATGTCAACTGCTGCATATGAGTATTTTCCATAGATGACTATCTCATTATATATACCTTGGTTGGTTCATGCAAATGGTATGCCAAAGGTATAGCTTGGAAATGCTCTATATGCACAAGCTCTATGTGTCTTTTGTAACTAGCCTCTTTGAAGTCTTATATGCCTTATTTAGTCTTGATCATCATTCGAAAAGTTTCAATTCTAGGAAATCTAAATTGATTTTTTTTTTGTCATACCGCGGCATTAGGCCTTGACTCCACGAGTTCTACATTGTTGTAGTGGAAGGAGGCCATGATCACAGCCTGTTGGAGTAGTATAGATCCTATGGATAGAGTTGGTGCTACAAGGCATCCCTATAACACAAGCAGAGAGGAAATTATATTAAACCGGCCCATCTCTCGTCTAACAAGTGTTGTTTCAGGACTGACTCAACCTCACAAAGAAAGGAAACATAATAAACTTTCTGCGAGTATCTCACCCTGTGCTCACCATGGTGGCCTTGTCACATAGTGCAGATAAAGCAGATACTGTCTCTGGCTTAATCCGAGGTACATACACCACACTCTTCATTCCAAATGCCGTTGCCTTGATATATATATATATATTCAGAAATCATTAACACTGTTGATAGTTCTCTGATTTTTCCATAGTAGTGGATTTATGGAGGTTGATAAAAATTTACCTGTTTTACATTCTCATACACTGTTGATGGGTCTGTAAAGTCGATCACAACTCCAACTTCTTTTCCCTACCAACAATATTTCCGTTTAGGTTGTTCAGTAAAACTTAAATCTGACGGAAACAGAGAGAAGGAGGGGTTTTGGAATAATGGGAACCTGAGATATTGAGCCTAAGACCATTGTTAGATCACTCACTACAGGTATCTCTAAAGGCTCCTCCATGTCACAAAGCTATTCAAGAACATTAGAGTTAGGGAGTCAAAATCAACCAGTTGGAATAATATTGAGATGGGTTTTAAGTTAAGTCACCAAGCCAATATCTTCGCCAAGAAAATGGTTATCGACAGCACCAGCTAACTCCATTCCCCTGGCCTTAGTCACAGCAACCACAGCCGCTCTTCCTATTTCCTTTGCAGCTCCATTTATGATAACCTGATAGTAGCATGATCATATCAAAGCTACATTGTGTGGCAAACTCGATGAGGATGATGTGATTACCTTTATGTTGTTTTGTGAAGGTTGAGAAGCGGAGCAGGTAAAAGAAGGCCTTGAAGGTTTGAGATGTCGTGGTAGGTTAAAGAAGTGGCAGTTCACAGCTGCCATTGCTCTAACCTCTAGATAGCTTTTGTTTTTCTCTTTGTTGCTCTTATGGTATAGTCATGTTGATAAGAGATTCTTGTCCTCTACTTGAAACGATGTCGGTTTTGTTTGAGGCGTATGGATGGATAAGGTACTTTGGCTCTTTGTGTTTAAAGAAAAAAAATTCTCAAAATTGGCAAAGATCTTTTTTTTTCCTACAACAAAAGGTTAATGCGTGGGTTTCAAAGACTTACAAAAATCTTCCTTAAAAAGAATCAAAATCTTGTTTGTTTAAGAGATAATATTTTGGAAAATACGAGGATATTGGAATGCTATGTCGACCGCACAAAAATAGGTAAGATGGAATAAACATAACTTGTTTTCCAAGCAAGAGATTTACGAAACAGAGTTTAGGTTATTAGGGTTTACTCTCTCGAAAACGAAAAAAAAAACTTTAGGGTTTCAATTTTCCGGCCGAAACTCAAAGTCTTCCTGAGTCCATAATCGGATTTCAGGCGATCAAAGTTCTCGATCTCTAACGATCTGATAAAACAACAGGAGGTGAAGCCGTGAAGATTATATCCCAAACCAGTACTCTCCTACCGGAGATTCACATCTCTTAACTTTCCCTAGAATCTTTGTGAAAATTTCGGAGATAGACAAAGTTTCTCTCACGTTCCGGTGAGTCCTTTATCGTTTTATAGTTATTAGTTATTACATGACTCTCTCTCTCTCTGGTCTCTCTCGACCTAGTTTCTCATTTTCTCGATCAGTACACAGTGTCTTGTTCCATAGACAATTGCAATCCCTTTTTAGTTTTACTGTTTTGATCTTAAAATGTAACTAATACTCTATGATTTTGATTAAAAAAATGTTTTGTTTTTGAACAGTTGCAAGTTATATTATGCATCCTCTGTTTTTGTCTTCTAATATGCTTACCTATTTATGATATAAAGCGATTTCCTCGTGCTTTGCATCATATATATAAGCTGAGTTAGACTGTTCTTGGTCGTAGATTTAAAAGGTCATAAGCTGATCATTCACTTTTCACAATTTAGAGGAAACAAGTATTGTTGTTGTTCTTATCTATGTTGGTGATAATATCAGCTATATCATCTCTAGGGATGATAAGGAAGATATTTAAAATACAATTTTCTTTCTTATTATTTGCTTTTGAAATTAAAGACTTAGGTTATGCAGCATATCGTTACTTCCTCTACGTCATTAGGTGAACTAAAGTACTCTCTTGGCATAAAATATGTCCTTTCTTTGGAAAGACTCTTCTTGTCCCAAAGAAAGTACATACTTGATCTTCTTAGTGAAACCGCTTACTTTATGTTTAATGGTGGGAACCTTGTCACTTGAAAGAGTAAGAAGCAAAAGGTGGTTTCAAGGTCGAGTGCAAAAATTGAATATAGAGCTATATTGAATACAACATATGAGCTCATTTGGATTAATGCGTTGCTTCTGGATCTCAACCAATCACTATGCATTATGACGACCAGGATGTAATGCACATTGCTTCCAACTGTTTTTCATGAGCATATAAATCATATTGAAGTGGATTGTTATCATATCCGCAAGACAGTTGAGTTTGGCATCATCATTCCTACTTATACAAAAAGCTTAGATAGGTTGCAGACATTTTCACCAAATTGATTTGGTCACATATGTCATAAAGTGCACTTATCTTTTTGATCAAATATCATTAAACATCTTGAGAGATATCCACAGTTAAACATATTTATGTTGGAGTAGTTTCAAGATGGGTGACATTCTTAGAAATAATTGCCAGAACTGTGCGTGTGAGAAAAAAAACACATGGAAAGATCACTTGATGATTTATAGGATCGGTAAACTGGTTTTTAAAGCTTACTACAATAAAGAAAGAAGCTCGAAGTTTTCACATCTCTTTTTCTTAGTTTCATGTTGGCGGAAAGTCTGCCAATCGGTCACAATACCTCATCACGGTTGAGGACGACAAAGTGAACTGTCCAAAGGGGTAAGATTTCGATTCAAAGTACTTTAAGATGTTGTTCAAACCTCTACGGTTAGTAACAGTGATCTCTAAGAATCAAAGGAAACAAGGTCAATAGTTTACGAAGCAGTTACAATAGGTCAAGCAGCTAAAACATGTACAAAACTCGAAACTAGTTTTAAAGCATTCTAAGGTATCTTGCACCTTCATTATATCAACCTACTCATACACTTGGCTTCTCTTACTTGCACAAAACCTACTCATATACTTGTCTTCTCTTACTTGCACAAAACCTACTCATATACTTGGCTTCTCTTACTTGCATACGTCTCTTTCCTGTTTTACTCCTCCATTCTTCATCTTCCGGAAAACCTCTTTCTTCATTAACAACTTCAGTTTCTTCTGAATAAAAAAAAAATAAAGAATGAGACTACAACATACTTGACAAGCATGGTTTGCAAGTCTAAGATCAAATATTGCTAATTCAGATTGGATATATCACATATTACGATTATGAACTCACCTTCCCGATGAAGAGGGGCGGTGATCTTCATACTTCCAATAAGTTTTTGCACCTTCTCCAAGATCCGGATTCAATTTGGCTTTTAGCCACCCAAGTCGAACAATAAGCTCTTCCAAGTCCAGAATAGGAGCTTCAATGGAATCTGATTCCATGATGTTTAGTTTAAGACTTCCATCGCCTTTATCTTCTTGTGTGTCGTTCTTTGTTTGCTCTTCTTCGGTTTCGCAAACATCTTCAATTTCTTCATCTGATGTTCCATATGTCCAAGAAAACCAAATAAATTCAGTAACAAAGTAACCATTAGACAAAAAAACGTTCCTTTAGATATAAAATCTAACCTTCATTCTTAAGTTTCACAAGCTTAGCACACTTCTGCCCATCCTACAACATTAACATGTAACAAGGTGAGCAACAATGGAAAATGAGGATACCAAATTCAGAAACAGTGCTTTCAGAAACTATTCAGAGCATGAGTAAACTGAGGTTTTGCTTAGTAGATAAATCTCAAAAAAAAATACAATATCACATATATGAAATGGAACTAACCACAGTACTAGGAACTTTCCAGCCATCTTCGACAGACCAATCCAACCGTGGACGCAAATTTTTAAACAAACATTGATAAATCTCTCCTTCACCCTCTGGTTCAGGAAGCAACTCAATCTGCAAAAAAAAAAAAAAAAAGATTATTATTGGCAGTTTCATTTAGTCTCTGAAACGAAGGAAATAAAGAATTGTGGAATTTAAGCTTTTCTAAACTCATATGTACGTTACTTTACACTCCTTACAAAACCTAAAGAATAAAAGCATAAACTAAAGAACAATAACAAACTTCACAATAGCAACTTGTATCATACCTGACAAAATTTCTTACCCTTCATCGCCACAATTTCTCCAGACCAGAAAACTTTCTCTTTCCACCAATCAACTAAATCTCCAGCTTTCCAAGAATCATGAACGACGACGAGAGGTTCTGTGTCGTCACCCTTGAGATTAAGGTAATCGCTTTCATGGTAATGTGGCGGATATTTGGGACGAACCATTAGGTGACTCTCTGTTTCCCCTTCAGGCGTTTCAAAGACTAGCGCATTATCTACCTCTGAAACATTTATAATGTACAAAAGAGTGTCAAGCTAAACAAATACTGATACAGAGTGAAACCAAAAAAATTACATAACAATGGAGGATTAAACTCACTTTCGTCTGGAAAATCAAGATACTTTAGCTTATACCTTAGTTCTCCATTTTCGTTGGTTATATCCAATATCTAATAACTCATTTAAAAACAAAAGAGTTGAAATTTACATTAGTTTAAACTGTTTATGTCTAATAACAGAAAAAAGCATCTCTAGTATGACAACGTGAAGATGAATTCTAGATAACAATCATAAAGTTTTTATAGTTTATTCTATCTGAAAAGTCTACTACATAAACTTGTGAGTGCATGCATTCAAGAGAATGAAAGCTACAAAGATCTGGAAAACAAAACAGAGATGATGAGACAAAAAAAAACGGAGATGATGGAATTAGAACTCAAAGAAGCATGGAAACACAGATTTATGTGGAGATAAAAAAACTGAAAATGGTGAATCCCTTGACAGTGATAAGAGTGATACTAAGGAAGAGGAGAGTTCATGATCTGAATTAGAACAGCAGAAGAAAGTCTAAAGAGCTATCAAGTTTTAAAAAATGTTAAAGCTCCCAAGGGAATTGAAGAGTTTAAGTTTGTAAATGTTGCTTGGCTAACATCAAAAGATGCATGGAAAGACACAATAAGACACCAATCTTTCATGGACAGCTAGAGTAAAAGATATATATCGCTACTATGTTAACCCACATGGACATGGCAAGGCAAAACATGAAAAAGAGAATTGGTATGTTTAATCAAGAGATTACAAAAAGCATAAATGATATTTATGTTATCATCAAATGTTCATCAAGATTGTTCTTCTAGCTAGATGGACATGGCATGCCCAAACATGAACTCTCTATTCAAAACCCGAAAAGTCGCTACATTCTCTCTAAAACATCAAAGACTTGTGAGCTGCGAAATTATGCCACTAGACCAAAAGTTACTTGGTCAAGTGGCATATAAGACACCCCTAAAAAGGTGAGAAGATTGTTTCCTTTGGGTTCAAAAGGGTATTAGAAAGAATTTGATCAAAACAAAAAGACAAAGAGAAATGGGCCATTCTCTGGCCCAGTTGAATTATTAAAAAAACTTATAAATGAATAAAAGGAACCAGATCTTTTTTGTAAAAGTAAAGATGAAAGAGTAAAGGGTTTAAGAAGAATTGGATGTAGTACATGATGATCAAAATTCCATCTAAACTCACTAGAAAAATGCAAACTAAACACAAAATGTATACTCCACACTACTCCATAACTCTTCTTAAAGATCAATAGTTTTAGGCAAATGTGCATGTTTGGTCAAAATCCAAACAAACTTGTCACATATTAGAAAGTTTGGTTACATTGTCTATGTTCACATCAAACAATGAAAGAGCCCTTGAAGATGTTAAATGAAATTTTCTAAGATATCGACATGGAACAAAAAATGGCAAGGTGTGGCTAACAAACAAACTTAAGTGCACAATAAAGATGGTGACTTATCATGATTGTGCATGTTTGGACAAAATCCAAACAACACCTTTGGACAAAATCCAAACAACACCTTTGGACAAAATCCAAACAACACCTATCGCAATTTAGAAAGATTGGTTACATTGTCTATGTTCACATCACCCAAGTAAATACATGTTCACATCACCCAAGTAAATACATGTTCACATCAATCAATGAAAAGATAAACCTTGAAAATGTTAAAAATCCTTGAAAGATATCAACATGGAACGGAAAATGGCTAAGTGTGTCTACCAAAGAAACTTAAGTGCACAATCAAAAATGATGTCTTCTCATGAATTACACAAGATAAAATCTTGTTAGCTCAAGAAATGTTTACAATGTTAAAATTCTTGAACATGTCTTTGTGTTCCAATAGGTATGTTCAAATCAATCTATATTTAAGTTTTGATAACCGCATTACCTTGCATCGGAACCAAGCTCCGCGGTATCCTATGATAAAGGATTTTGCCTCGACAATTTGACCAACTTGGAATGGCAAATTGATTTGATTCATTTTACCAATTGGAGCTGCACAATTAAAATTGTACTATGAATTGAGTTGGATGGAAGAAGAATCTCACAAAACGAAGATTTGGTAGAGGGAATATAAAAAGATTGCAGCTAGGAAAGGTTGATAGATTCTAGGAAGGAAAAGTAGTAAGGGCATATATGATCTTCATGGCTGCAAATTCATCTGTTTGCAAATTAAGCCACTCTATTCTCAGGTTCAATATCCTTACAGACAAGACCACCTCTCCCCATTACAACTACTCTTTATTGTAAGAAGAACTTATATAGAGTAGAAAATGAGCAATCTATTTACATCTAGATTGATTTTCATTGTGTCTAGATAATAACTTGATGGTGATAGCAAAATCGAAGACTATCAGTATAAAACTTTGTCGAAGATCACCCATTCAATAAGATTAAACTGTCAGTATAAAACTTTGTTCTAATACTTATTGATATTTCGTACAATCGAAAAAAATCCACCAAATAATCAATAATGTATTAGATCAAAGTTTTATACTAACAATCTATCTTTATATACGAGCTTATTTCAAACATGAGAGTTCTAAACAAATAATCCAAAATAAAAAAACAAGAATCCAAAAAGGAAAATGATTTCAAAACCATGTTTCATCCCAAAAATCCCCAAACAGGAAAATGATATTCAGAAACGATTCTCACACAGATCCATAATGATTAGGAGAAAGAGAAGTGTGAAAATACATGATAAGGGCAGCCGAGCTGGATTCCCAGATCTGGAGGAACCTGAAAAAGAAGATTGAGCGGCGGCCTTTTATATGTGTACGTAAGAGATGATGTGAGAAAAAACCCTAATCTGAGTGTACACGTGGGCATTGGTGAACTGTCGTCACGTTAAGTTTGTATTGGGCCGAATTATTAAAGGCCCCCCCCCAACACATGTGTGGTCAGCGACATTTATTGAAAAAGCCTACAGCAAAATCTTTTGTTTTCATTAATAAACACTTTGGTTTAGATTAAGATTTGACTAACGTGAGTGTATTAGTCTTTATTTTTATTTTTTTATGAGTAAAACATTTTTTTTGTCAACTTTTTATGAGTAAAACTAAATTCTAATATTTGTTATTCTTTTAATTTGTCGACATCTTATATAATTGATAAATTATGATATATGTTCCGTTATATATGATAAAATTAGTTTTAAAATTTTTGGGTGTTTCTGTACATTCATTCTCTTCTTCAATTAGAGTCTATGTAGATGTCTTGCTAGTTGCTATATACAAAACTTATTCGTCAATATCTCAACGTATGGTTTCTTTTTTCAGTAATTTAGCAATTGAAAACAAAGTTTTCGTCAAATATAGCACACACATAGGACCGAATAAAGTGATTATTAATCCACGAAGAGTCGAAAACACAAGAAAAGATGTTAATATTAGCAATTTAATAAGTTTAACTTTCTTAACAAGATAGTGTAAACCAGGTGTTAATAGCTCAATTGGTAAAAATTTCTAGCAAAGATAAGAGGTCACTAATTTGCGTAGCGTTTGAGATGAGATCATATTACATGTTCTGCTCTCGGGTCTGAGAGAATGTATGGGATTAGCTCCGGAACTTTTTTAGTTAGTAAAAAAAAATAAAAAAAAATAAAAAAATTATGAAGCACCACCCGTAATATAGTTGGACTAGATAGATATTTGGGCCTCTACAAAGAAGTTAAGTGCTCGGGCTTGGATGGTTGGCCTAACTATATTTTCGAATGGGTATTTTTACAGTATACTGTTGTATATCGTTCTATCAATTTTCATTTCAAACTTGTGGCACAACGCACAAACCAAGATTTGTTGTAAGGATATATGTCGATGCTAGAAAGAGATTCTTCGATAGACAAAAGACACATCATGATA